CTGGGGAGGGGACCCCGCCCTAAGAAAAAACCCCCCCAAAAAAAAAAAAAAAAAGGAAGAGGCCAGAGGATGAGTTAGCTGACTTTCTTTATGTGAGGATGCAATAAGATGCCAGCATTTTGGGGCCAGCAGGTGGTGTGGTTAAGGAACTGGACACTCCTACATAAGCAGTCATGGTTCAAGTCCCTGAACCTAGTGACTTGCTTTCTCACTTTCTCTCTCTCTCTCTCTGGTCAAATTAAAATAAATGAATGGGTGAATAAAATAAGATAAATATTAATTTTTTTAAAAAAAAGATGTCAGCATTCTGTAACCCAGAAGCTAGTCATTACCAGAACCCAACCATACTGGCACCTTGTCTTCCTCAGATATCAAAACCTTTCGTTCTCTCTCTTTTTTTTTTTTTGGAGAGTTTTTTTTTTATGATAGGACATGTGCACTCACCAGAAAGACAGAGACAGACGGAGAGACAGAAAGCAAGAAATCACCCCCCAGGGGGGATGGTCACACCACAATCCCTTCTCCTCTATTCTCCTCTCGGGATTTTGGGCACACATGCACGTCCAGCATGAATTTAAGCCACCGAGTCAGAGACTTGAACTGTGGTTGACTACGTGGGAACCCAGTGACGTAGCCATTACACCAACTGCTGGTCCCAACATCAAAACTTCAAAAACTAATCAGTTTAATTCCTGTTTAGGAATGAAACTCTTAGTCTGGAAGCTTCCTATTTATGTTGTTAATTACTTCTTAAAAATGTATGATAATATATTTGACTTGACTAATATTCACTGTAAGCATGTTAGGAAAAACCATGTTGCAAGTTGTAAATATGTATAATGATTAAATGTAAATGGGGTGATTTCTAACTTTCTGTCTCTATGTCTCTCTCTGTCTGGCGAGTACATGCACCCTATAGCGAAAAAAATCTCTCCAAAAAAAGAAAAGAAAAAAGAAAAAAATATTTCTACTTTGAAAACTGAAAATTCACGGGCCATCAGGTGGCATGGTGATTAAGGGTGCTAGACACCCACATGGCCAACTGTGATTCAAATCCTAGACCTGGCAGCTTGCTTTCTCACCACCCCCCAACCCCCATCCCCCTCTGGTCAAATGAATAAATAAATGAATATATTTAAATAAAATAATTATTTAAAAAAATAAACATTCCAGTAAATGAGTTTAACTTATTTAAGTAAAAATTTATCTTATCCAAATTTTAAATAATTATTTACTTTATTTATTTATTTATATACTATTATTAAAAATTTTACCAGAGACAGAGAGCAAGAGGGAATGTGAAAAAGCAAGCGCCAATTCCAGGACTCAAACCACCATCGACCATATGGGGGTTCAGTGCCCCAACCACCATGAAACCTACCAGTCATCTGTCTTACCCAGTTTTAAAAGTTTTACTAAAGTATGCCAGAAGTTCTAAAATGCTTTCAAACAGCCCTTCATGCTGTAGAGAAATCTTTAATGAAATCTTTAATCTTTAATGTTAGTTGATATAGCAAACTTCATTGCTTATCATGGGCAAGTGTTTGCCTGATATACTCAGGGAGGACCCTGGACTTGAACCTTCTCATGTGGAATTGCCTCATAGAGTACTTACTGTGTTTTACTCCTGTGCCACCATCTGGCCCTTATAATATTGATATACAATACTTTGAAATTCAGTAGTTTGACACTTCTAGTTCCATTCCTTTTGTTCAAGATTACTTTGAATATTTGGGATCTTTTGTGATTTTTATACAAATTTTATGATTTTTTTTTCTATTTTTATGAAGAATATTATTGGCAATATGATAGCTGTTGCACTGAACCTGTAGGTCACTTTTGGTAGTATATGTTTTGATAGTAAAGACATTTTAGCAATGTTTTTTCTTCTAGTCCATGAAAATAGGTTGTCTTTCTATTTTTTTGGTCTTTTCCAATTTTTCTCATCAGTGGTTTAAATTTTTCATTATATTGGGTCGTTGGAAAAGTCATGATGCATTTTTGCATAGAAAAGCAGAAAAATACATCATGACTTTTCCAATGATCCAATACAAATCTTTCACTTTTTTGATTAAATTTGTGCCAGGGTCCAGCCTTGGTGGGAGTGGGTTGACTCATTGGAGGCAGTGCAGGAAAAGAAGATGGAGGCCTCGGTGCCTTTTCATGCACGTCCTGAGTCGGACACTCCCCAGAGATCTCTCTCTGTAGAGTGACAATTGCTAGGAATCATCGTGCCTTTTTATTGAAAATGTGATACATACAAGTAAATGGGAGAGGGGCTATGTGTTTTAGTTATCAGTTCATAAAGTTTTAACAATAGGGAACATAGGTTCCATTCAGGGTTGGATTAAGGGTTGGTCTATTGCAGTTCCGCAGTTGTTCGTTTGATGTAGGTGGGTCTTCATGGAATGCAGTTTCGGGAAAGCAGCTCCAGCAAGCAGAGATAATTATCAGCTGATGCGGCATCAACCATCTTGTGATTACTAAGCATGATGCTGAGAAAATCTCAAGTATAGATATTAGTTCTTATGGATCGCAATAAAGAATGATACTTACATAATTTTATAGGGATCTAAAACTTAATTCAAGGAATCCTAATATACTTATCTATTTAAAAGGGGTGAAGCTATTGTTCACTTGGTGAGGGTGGGGATACAGCTTTTTCAACTGGCAGTAAAGTGAGTAACAAGTTAATGAAGAACTTTAAGGTGGGTTTGTGGCATGCTTAAGCATTCTATTGTGCCTGTGGCACCACTGTTAAGTATTTCATTAGAACATTAGCTACCATGGGGCTGGAGTGTCCTGGGCCAGTTTTGGCTTAAAAGGTTATTTTTAAGTTTATGTTAAATGTATCTTGAAGGGCCTTCCAAAGGTCAAAAAGATTTCTGTCTAGATGTAACTTCAGCACACCCTCTATTGTGACTGCAGGGATGAAGCATTGTAATTAATAGTAGGTGGTCAGGGCAAAGGGGAGCGGTCGGTGGATTTTCAGAAAATCTTATCATATACTCAGGATGTATAAGAGAGCTATGTCATTCTTTTAAAGTAGTATATCAGGGAGTCAGAGGGGGGTCACTTCCCAACATGGCTACTGCATTCTCTGGAGCATACAACAAGTGGCCTTGCCAACATGCTGAGTCAACTCAAGCTTTGTTCATAGGTCGGGGGAGGGGGGGGGAGGCTTACAGCAGCAGCCTTGCCAGCGTGCTGAGCTGACCAAAGCTGTGCTCAAAGGTCAAAGACTCGAAACAGATCCGGGGGCCCCACCGGGTTGGACTCCTCCAAATTTTTCATAGATATTTTCTTGTAAATGGTTGCATTTTATCTCTTTTTCAGCTATTTCAGTTTTGGTATAAAAGTACTATTGGTTTTTATATGTTGATTTTTTAATTTTCTTTTTTTATTCTCTGCACTTGCAGAGAAAGAGGGACAGTGAGAAATCCTCCCCCAGAGGAGATAGCTATGCCACAGTCCCTTCACCTCTATTCTTTCTCAGGATTTTAGGCACACACACATGTGCCCAGTATGTTTTTCAGGCTGATGGGTTTGAGACAAACCATGGAGTTGGTTATGTGGAATCCCGCACCTTAACCACCACACCATCCTCTGGCCCCATATGTTGATTTTGTATCCTGGGGCATAACTGAATATATCAGTTCTAAGAGGGGTGCATGTGTTTTGTGTGTAAAATCTTCAGTGTTTTCTATGTACAATATCATGTCAATTGCAAATGGGGACAATTTGTCTTTCTCCTTTCTAGTTTGGATACCTTTTATTTCTTTCTCTTGCCTAACTGGACTCTAGTACTGTGTGAAAAAACATAGTGAAAACAGGCATCTTTGTCTTATTCCAGTTTTTTAAAAAAGAATTATTTTGTTTATTCATTCCTTTATTTTAACTTGACCAGAGAGAGACACACACAGAGAGAGGTTGAGAGAGAGAGGGAGAGATAAAGTGAGAAGCAAGCCACCAGGTCTGGCGGAGTGTCCAGTGCCTTAACCACCACACCACTGGCTGGTCCCTCCAGTATTTATTTTTAAAGGAATTATTTTATTTAACTTTATTTATGTATTTGTTTGTTTTAATATGACCAGAAAGGGATAGAGCGAGAGAGAGGGAAAGCAAGAAAGCAATCTGCCAGGTCTGGGGCTTGAAGTGTGGTCAGCCATGTGGGATTCCAGTGCCCCTAACCACCACACCACCTGGTGGGCTATCTTATTCCAATTTTTAAAGAAAAAGCTTTTTGCTTTTCTCCATTCAGTAATAATAGCTTTAGGTTTCTCATTTATGTCCTTTATTGTGTTAGGTACTTTCCTCTATTCCCAATTTGTTGAGTATTCTTATTGTAAAGGGACATTGAGTTTTGTCAACTGCTTTTTCTGTGTCTATTGAGATTATCACATGGATTTTGTTCTTCCTTTTCTAGATGAGGTGTATACCATTTAAAGATTTGCATATATTGAACCATCCTTGCATCCCTAGGATAAACCCAACTTGCTCATGGTGTATACCTTTTTGTTGTTTTGTTGGAATCAATTTGCTAGTATATTGTTAAAGATTTTTTGTTTGTTTGTTTTTGCACTTATGTCCATTAGGGGTATTAGTCTATATTTTTGTTGTTGTTTTTGTGTCTTTGTCTGGTTTCAGTATCAGGGTAATGCTGGCCTTGTAGATAAGTTTGAAAATGTTCCTTCAACTTCACTTTCTTGGAGTAGTTTGAGAAGACCTGATTTTAGCTCTTTATTAAATGTTTGTATAGCATTTTGTAGTGAGACTGTGTGGTCCATGGCTTTTCTTAGTTGGGAGATAAGTTACATGGGACTGTGAGGCTGTGAATGTCAGTCTACAGTATCTATAGGGTACTCAGTGGGGGGTGAGAATCCATCTACTGTGATCATGACAGTTGCTGAACTGAGCGCTGGTCAGGGGTTTGGGCCAGCCAAATCTGGAGAGCTCCTACAAAGGGGAAGAGCTCATGCATTTCAACTGTGGTGTATACCACCCTCAGCACTTGTCAGTAGTGGAAGCCTACAAAATCTGAAGGACTTACATAGCAGTCAGGGGTCCTTGAACTAGAGCTGTTGAATGAGCTAAGCTCCTGGTGACAGCCAACAGTACCTGGAGACCTCCTGCCGGGATGCAGTCCTATGTGATTGAGCAGCAGTGTGTGCTAGGCTCAACTCATGTCAGAAGCAGAGGTCACAGATCCTGGAGAGGTACCACATTAGAGAGGGGTCTTTGTGTTGGTGCAGTTGCCTGAGCTGGTCCTCTAGGGGCAGCCCACAGTTTCTGAAAGACTCCTGAAGGGGATTGGGGGCCGAATTGTGTGCTTAGAGTGATCTGGGCCCAGAGCAAGCCAGAGATTATGTGGATAGAGGCTAGAGGGTCCCTTTGGTATGTAGGGACTATGCATTTGAACCTGACTTGGCTGTGGGGTGTTTGTGTTTGTATACCTGTTTCTTGACATGATCTTCCTGTAAACCTTTAGGTTTACAATCTACTTGGAACTGATTTTTTTTTTCATATGGTATAAGGTAGAAGTACAATTTTATTTTACTCTCATAGATATTTGACTATCCCAGCACCATTTATTAAGCCAGTCCTTTTCCCTACTTCACAGTGCAATCTCTTTCATTTATCAAGGGTGTATCAATATGTGTAATGGACTGAATGTGTCCCCCCTCCCCCAAATTCATATGTAGAACCTGTAATCCCAATGTAATGGTATTTGGAGGTGAGAAGTAATTAAGTTATGAGGGCCCTTGTGGATGTGATTAGTACATATATCAGAAGAAACCAGAGAGTGAGTTAGCTGTCTTTCCTTATGTAAGGATACAATAAGATGCCAGCATCTCTCTCTCTCTCTCTCTCTGTGTCTTTCTGGTTAAATTAAAATAAATAAATGAATGATTAAATAAAATAAATAATTCTTTTTTTGAGATCTAAAGAATGTTTTATTCTTTTTATTTTAATTTATTTTTACATTTTCCCACGTTTACTTTACATATCAAAAAATTTTAACTCATGCTCCATAGTTCTTTTTTTTTTTTTCTGGAGAGGTTTTTGCTATAGGGCGTGTGTGCTTGCCAGACAGACAGAGAGAGACAGAGAGACAGACAGAAAGTGAGAAATCACCCCCCAGGGGGGATGGCCACGCCATGATCCCTTCTCCTCTGTTCTCCTCTCGGGATCTTGGGCACGCACGCACACGCGCCCAGCGTGAGTTTAAGCCACCGGGTCTGGGACGCGAACCGCGGTCGACTACGTGGGTGTCCAGGGACATAGCCATTATGCCAACTGCTGGTCCCATAGTTCTTGAAAGTTAACAAACAGCTTTCAAAATTTCAAAGTTTTTCTTATAATTTTGTGTAATTTTGTTTGTGACTCAATAACAACAGAAACAGTATGGTTTTAAACATTGAGAAAATATTTACATGTCAACTACTCAAATTGTTGAAAAGCAAATGCCCAGCACACTAGTCACACATAAACCTTCTCAATTCAGCCCTACCCAAGTGTATTCTGTGATATACCATCTGCTAGCAAAGATCAGTCTCTTTTTCTTACTTCAAAGTCTTTCTCAAGATAATTCTCTGGTGTGGTTGCTCTTTTGCAAGCTCTACTGATTACCATGCTGGGCTGGAAAAGTCTGGGTTATTTTATGTTATAAATTCTTTCATATATCTTTTCTAATCCTCTCTGCCAGGCAGAACTATTTATGGTACCAAGCCATCTTTCTAAGAGCTTCTGTTAGCTTAATTGAGATCCACCTTAATTCCATAGTTTTCTAATTAATCTTCAGATATGACATTCCAGTCAAAGCCCTGTCCAATAATGAGTATTTCCGACTTCTGAATCAATGCAAGAAGTCAAATAAGAATATTCCCAAATATTTTCCAATTCCAAAGAGATCTGGAAGGAAGAAAAGTTTGTTTCCATTTAAAGAAACAAACTAGGGGAACCAGCAGTTAGCGTAATGGCTATGTCACCGGACTCCCACGTAGTCAACCGCGGTTCGTGTCTCGGACCCGGTGGCTTAAATCTCACGCCGGGCGCGTGTGCGTGCATGCCCAAGATCCCGAGAGGA